TCATCTCAGGCGAGAATCGACACCGTCCACGCTCTCTCAGTCCTCGGATTTTCCTATTGGCTGATAAAGAAACCGCAAGAAAGATTGAGTTTCCCCCCTCCGGAGGACTCCACACACAGCAACCAGCGAAATGAAGCCAAGTGCTCAGTCATCGCCCTAACGCGGACCCCTTGCCGAGCCCTTCTCCTTCCCAATTAGTGGCGTCTTTGCCTCAAGTCGCTCTGTCAGCTCCAATCAAGGTTGCTCGTCTTCTCAGAGATGACTGAACATCCAGCTCGCCCCCTCCAGGCCTGGGCAGCCCCGAGGACGGAGCCGATATGTGGAAAGGACGTGAGAGAGGAGGAAGAAGAAAAATGAGGAAAAATGAAGAAGCTGTAACCCTCGAGATCATGTTTCTTTTATTATCGTGTTTCATCTATGTTGCTGTTAGTCAGTCAAACAGTTTGAGACTGACTGGAATCTCTTTCCTGTTAAAGTTTGGGCTAAACAACTGTAAGTTTCTGCTAACTTCAGACAATTCAGAAGCGCAAACTGAACCACCCTTTTCTTTCGTGAGCAACCAGACTATAAATCATTGAGTATTACATCATACTAAAGTTCAATTTTGAGGTACCTGACATGAGTTTTTCCATTGTTTATTACTTTATAAATGCAGTCCGATACAATTGCCAATGTAGTTAGTAACCATATCCAAGTATCACAATATTAAAGTAATGCAACTTGATTACTTTCCAGCTACTTTTGGATTAACCTTAATACGAAATATGCAAATAAAGACCATAAATATCAATAAGTATTGATGTGGGTGTATTCTATAAGATGACAATGTGACCTCAGTGTATTATTAAAGACAACTGATCCTGCCAATGATCCCCATATTTACTAAATGTAACTCTAAGTTGATTACTTAACACACATTTGACACATATTTTTTGTGTATTATATCTTTTTGTTTGTTTGTTGCACCCCTTAAAGTCAAGATGGTCTCATTACTGCCTGTGAAGCTTTGACGACCCCTATTGGGGGTCCTGGCCTCCAGTTTGGGAACCACTGTTCTACACAAACAAGACCAACAGTGAGAAGACTGGCTGTGTCTATATGGTTATTCTTAATGCCTGCCACCAGATCAGATTTTTTTTAGCAACCATTAGTTTCTAACATTGTTGCTTTGAGAACCACTGGACTAACTATCAAACTGTATATAAAGTTATTAAAACTAGCTCCACCTCAGCAAGTAACATGCTTCTACATGTAATGGAGTATTTTTACATTCATGTATTAATATTTTAACTTAATGAAAAGATCTGAGTTCTTCCACCACTGCTGTAAACTGCTTATAGGGGTAAATAACTATGTATAATCATCAAACAGGTCTTTTTATACCTCCTAGATACACCCACATAGGGCTCAGAGCAGCTGGGTTTCTGAGGAGAGATCAGAGTGAGAAGCAGCTGATGTTACGGTTCAGTGCCTGGCTCAAGGGCATTTCAGCATTTACAGGTATACTTGTACCATTTATGTTTAACCACTTAACGACTCGGGCAGATTGCATATACATTCATATAACTGTGTATGTAGCTCTTGTTTTAACGTATATCGCTGTATGAGGGCCGGTGCTGGCTCACTCACACACCTGAAGTGTCTTTTTTTACCGGCCCAATTGAAAGCAATGACAGCGACTTCAGCCCCCCCCCCCGAGTCGCCACCTGCACTAACAGCCATGACAGTGGTTAGCTTACATTAGCATTAGCTTAATGAGGCTTCAGCAGAGGCAGTGGACTGTGACAGTCTCTCAGCCTGAATTCTGTCCATACTGCTTGCTGTTGTTTCAAGACTTTCTTTGACTGGGGAGGCACAATTGGGGCACTGACGTGTGCAGGGGTGGCATGATGTATGTGTCTCAGACTTCCCAATTTATGCAATTCCAACACTGTTTATGGATCCCATTGTGCAGACATATGCAAATACACTAGGCTAAACTAGCACATTTGTACCACAAAACCTACAAAAACTGCATGGGATAGCATAAAGTGGGCACCTCTGCAAACCTGAGGTCAGAGATGAAGGGATGCCTTTGAAAATGCCCATGCCAGCCTTTACATCACCAAAATTGGGCCTAACTTTGGAGCATTATGTAGCCCCCTTTCCGACACGGTTGGTACCAATGGATGCATTAGGTCATCTAGTTTCATAATATACCACTATCTTCCCTCCAGCTTTAAAACGGAGCCCACAACCGCCTCTGAAAGACGGAGTTAAGGAGGTATAAAGGATATTTCAGTTTCAACACATAGACTCATAAAGAACATTTCAATCCAAAAATACTGTTGATTGATTGATGTATGGATTTGCAGCATTAATCACATAACATGAGACCTTTAAAACATGTTTTTTATCGTCAGTATTAACAGCATGTTCAAATGCATTCAGGTTTTTAGTTGATTTGAATTTCACCAAGTTGATAAATATTAGTTTATCATCTTGTTATGCAAGTTGCGTTTCAAGTGTTCCAAGCATTTCTAAAAGCTTAAGATTTTTCATTTAAGTCATGGAGGTGTTTTCAGTGGCTTAAGTAACGTTGTTTCACAGCAGTGGGCTGCAATAAATCATCATTAATTAAATTTTACTTTTTACTAAATGAAACACAGACTCTTCTGCTTATCATAGCTCGCGTTCTGCTTTTCAAAAACAGTTTAACGACCCAACATTTTCTCTTTTAATTTACACAATCAGTAATTTACTGCACTCATCCTGGTCAGATATAAAGAAAAGTTAATTTCATGTGTTGATGAATGTCCTCTAATGAGATTTATGTTTCTTTAATTGATGAGATTTCTTGTTGTCTCTCTTTTTAAAAATCAATACACAGGATTTTGTGAAAGGCTGTAAAGCCCCAGGCAGTTGAACTGAAATTCATTATGCATTTCTCAAGTTTTTCATTAAAATTAAGCTTTGCCTGAGCCGTGTGTGTGTGTCTGTGTGCAGCATTTCCTACTGCAGTTGTATGAACTGACTGAAGAGCCTGAAATATTGCAGTCTTTTGCTCATGCTGTTTGATGAATGAAAGCAGCGTAATTAGGGGGCAGTTAAAAGGACTGGAGGACATTTGACAGACAGCGTGCTTTAAGGAGGTGGAGCCACTGCTCATTTGGATGGATTAATAATAATGCTCTACCCCCCGACTCATTCAGAAATCCATCTTTATTAATAAATATTCCATAATGTGCAGAACATCATTCAAGAGCAGGATGCAAAATGGGACGAGAAGCTGTGACAATGTACACTACATCTGGCTGACAGGCAGTTCAACCTTTCTAACATTAGACTCACAAAGCAAACCAAACACATCAAACGAGACGGGTACTGTATGAAGGGACTGCTTTCTCCCACTGGGCTTACTGACGTACTTCATGAGATTTCATGAGGATAAATAGCCTACACACCCACACAGGTGTTATCAGTTATTACTGATTAGACCTCACCTAAACGCAAGTAAGACTGTGCAGCAGGAGAGTGAGGGAGCAAAACGAGGTCCAATCAGGCGTCCGTGAAAACACTTGTGTGGGTGGACTGAGTGTGTTTTTGCTGCTGTATTCACATCATGTGGGAGTTACGGTAATTACCAGTTTCTGAATGTTACTGTTCACGTCAGCGTCTAATTTGTACTGGAAAACTTTAAAAGCTCAAATGTATACAACTTGGCCCCGAAAGATGTGCAAGTGCCTGAAAAAGCCAACAAACATGGAGGCCTAACATCAGTCAAAGTCTGTCGTTCAAGGCAATTAAAGTCCAGTAAACGTTCAGTTCAAATGAAGAAAGTAGTGTACTATACTGTGTAGCAAGGCAGACAGTAGGTGCCCACATGTGATCAGGATCTGGGTGCATTAACTGGATAATGACATCTGATCCATAGGACTTGGCATACAACTGGTGTTGATAAGCACTGTTGTAATCTCAGTTCTGCCAACATCGAGTCAAGAAAAGCAATGCCATGTTTCATTCCTTTACATTTATATATTTTATTCCAGCTTATAGTTAGCAAGCACCACTTGCCACTTTTAGCAGCAACAGGCAGAGTCAGGTGACCTTAAGGATATGGTCACCTTGTACAGACTGACAGACACTAACAAACATTTTGCTTATCCAGATATCCAGGATATTGAGAACAGGAACCACAGTCACTGTCACAGGCCTACAATTAACATTATTGTTTTTATTACCTGTAACCATAATCATAATCTCTGCCTAAGTGTAACCATTACTGTAGCTGCAATGTGCAGGGTTAGGGTTTGTTGATAGTGTTGCACAATTCTGACAACACACAGCCTTTTCAAACACTCATGTGTCCAGGGGCAGCTAGCCTATGTTTGGGAAACGCTGTTTCAGTCTGATTGATGCACATCTGGTATTTACCTGTCTGTTAATGGATTAATCTACCAGCAGTAGATGTGAGCAAACAGTGTGCAGGAGTTGTGCTTTCCTCGAGCGCACCTGTCATATTTAGGTGTGCAGAGACTATTAAAGCAAAATCTGTAACCACATCGATCATAAATGAGCATATCTGCACATCTGTTTTCAACACGCAACAAAATACGGCAGATGTCGGCAGAACAACTCTTCTGCCGGCTGAAGAACAAACTGTCTGAAGACGTTTCTGTTCTCAAAGGCCTCAAGTGGACATGTGAGTCATGACGGTAACATCTGGTGGACCTCGTATTTGGGATTTAAACGTGAGAAAGTAAGATAGTAAGACAGCTAGAACTTCCCTTAAAGAGTAAAAGGCAAGAGCACATTAAGAGTGGCTGGTGCTTTCTCAAGTTGTCCGATAACGTGAACACTTGCAGAAACACGGGAATCCAACATCAGTACCTTCCATCCCACATGATGTGAATGAGGCATTAACACTTGTTTGCTTAGATGGGCTAGATGTGCCTGAGGGACACACAGCTGATAAGATGTTAGTATAATAATTTTAAAGTTTCCCAAAAGTATAGAATGGCTTTCAGGGGTGTGTCAGCGAGTTTTAATTAGATTGTTTTTCAGGGACTTTGTTACCCAGAAATCACATTTCCTAACATTAAGAAGGATAGGCTTCTAAATGAACACACAATATCAAAATGCTGAGTTTAAAAGAGTTACATTCACACAGTGTAATGCTTACAAAGATAGCCTTTATCAATCTTCTTTTGCATGACATTCATGGCGTCTCTATACAAATACATGTGTTGAATTAGGACATGATACTCAGCATCATGTCAGTCAACATTAAATATGAAATCACTCAACAAACCAACACTGTGAGTGTTGTATATGGTCTTCAGTGTTACGTATACTCTCAACCACTTACAGTCACATAGATGTCTTATGATACAGTAACACGGTGACATCCTGTTTGTAATATATTTGGTAACACTTGTCTTAAGGCATACAGTTGTGTTGGATTATAATGTTTGATATTTGTATGGAAGCTATCAGAACCATTTTAAGGTTGTATTGTTTTTTAATTTAGTTTCTTTGCCTTGACATGTTTGACAGGATCTTTTATAAGAAGCCAGGCAACATCAGGTGACACAGTTGCTTTATCCATTCATTAGTGAATGGACAGGAAAAAAATATTACTTTTCTTTTTAAAAAAGCAGGAAAATTTTTTAAAATGTTTACTGCCTTATATTATAGTGAATTGAATACCTTTTGGGGTTTTGGATTGTTTGTCAGACAAAATAAGACATCAGAACACAACAGCTTGGGCTTGTGGAAAATCTGCATTCTTTATACTTTTCTAACCAAATGATTAATGATGGTTAGTTGCAGCTCTGCCAAAGCTGTCAAGTAAAACAAAAATGGAATATCTTAAACCAGATGAAGCTTTTACAGTGTTTGTTTATGTCTTACTTTTATATCCTCCAAAAAACGTGTAATAGATATAAAAATCTGTATTAGGAGGATATTGTGCCTTAAAGAGGACAATTTGTTTAATTAAGATTTCTCAGCACAACACACTGCTGCTTTCTCATCCAACCTCTTCTCCACAAAAACTCCAACCCTTTTTACAAAATGTAGATATTCTGGCTGAAGCACTTGACAATCATGAGGCCTTGGAACTGAAATTGAATGGTATATTTAAACCTTATTCTCTAACCTTTGCTGTGATACAAGCCAAGATCTTCTGCAGACCATCAGAAATGTGGTGTTCAACAATGTTTAATCCTTGGTCCTCTGTCATTCTCAATCTACATGCATGGAAACAACATCTGACAGACAAAATGTCTGCTTTTATGCAAATGATGCTCAGGTGTATCTATAAAACCGGTGCATGGAGAATCCAGGACCCTAAACTGCCTTGATGTTGCCTAAATTGACCAAATTTGGCAAATCTATTTCCTTGTTTTGCTTCCCCAACTCTATCTGACAGATTCTGGATAACAACTTTAGGCATTAATCTAAATGTGAATTTGGTCCAGATCTGTGTTTAGTAATATCTTTTAAGGCACAGTGGGGTCTGGCTCCGAGTTGATGTATATTTGCATGCATGTTTGGTTTTGAGTGCCGTGTTCATTAAAGATGATTGTTATTATCATTTTTGAATAACATTATTTAAAATTAGGACTGACTTACTTAAAGACAGTACTAAAGTTATCGCACTTATTCACCAAAGATCTTAAAAGGTGGAATTATCATTTTAGAGATAATGAAGAAGTTATATTTGTTAGTGTGAAAATGTGATTACTCAAAATAAACTCTTATTGTGTATGCCTTAAGGCAAGTGTCACCAGATTGTTTTGTCTTGTGGCCACAATTAAAGACAACATATAAAGGACAAATATATCACGCTGCACAAAGCAAGCTTTTCTTTTTTTTTTCTAGTTATCTCTTGACAAAATTTACATTAGATTCTACAAGAAGTTGACACATTGACAGCCATTTACCAACAGCAATGAAAAAAAGGCAAAAACACTGAGAATATCATGCAACTGCTGTGTAACACTTGATTGCATGAATAAAACAAACATTATTCCCATTAATAAGCAAAGTATTATTTTCTTTTAGGTTCCTGTATCAACCTGGCCCTTCTGCTTTAACTGGTGACTTGTAAGAGATGCTTCTGCTGGAGTGAGTGGAAGTATGTTGACTATAAATTAGCTTTTATTCTACAACATATACCAGTTTTAAAGGACCAGTGTGTAGGACTAAGTGGCATCTAGCGTTGTAGCATTTCACTCTCCTCTTCCAAGCGCAGAGGAGAAACTACAGTAGATGCAGAAGTTTAGTGCCAGTGTTTGGTTTGTCGCTTCTGGGCTACTGTAGAAACACGAAAGTTGATGTTGACAGACGCCATGGAAGGTGGCCCGCGGCATCTATTGATATAAAAGGCTCATTGTATGGTAACGAAAACATAACGATTCTTATTTTTAAGTGATAACACACTCATAAAAACATACCTATACATTTTATATTCCATTTATACCAACAGATCCTCCTAAATGTTACACATAGGACCTTTAAAAACAGAGCAAATATAAGATTTTCAGGTGTGTTAAGTTGCTCTTTAATATCAGTATCTAAATAGAAATTTAGCAGTGTTGAGAATTTTGCCTGTGATTGCAATGTGAAGCTCTTTAAATTACTACTCAGGGGCTCTATTTGCACACACAAATCACCCATTCTTGCATTGCTCAAGGCCTTAAAGGACCAGTGTGTAAGATTTAGTGACATCTAGCAGTGAAGTTGCAGATTGAAAGTAACTGAACAATGCTCACGTCTGTATTTAATGACCTGCATGAGAACGGGCTGTGAATTATGTACAGGAAGCTACGGTGGCCACGAAGCTCCAGAAAAATGCGAAAGGCCCTATCTATAGCCATTCTTTGGTTTGTCCAATCTGCGCTGCTGTAAAAAGACAATAGTGGAGTCCATGTTTGTAGATAAAAATGTCTCATTCTAAGGTAACAAAAACACATCAATTATATTATATTCAGGTGATTAAACACTGATGAAAACATATTCCATTTCTGCCAGTAGATCCTCCTAAATGTTACACACTGGACCTTTTAATTTCACTGATATCTGTTGGGCAGTCAGGACAGACAAACTGGACTAAAAAAAACATAAATCTCCTTGGTGTAAGAAATAAAGATGCAGTTTCTCGCCACCAACCCACTCACTTCCTTTTCATATGTTAAACTTGTTGGTTTTTTAAATGTAATTTTGAACATTGTCATTATTCAAAGACATTCCCACAGGCAAATCTGCTCAACACACCGTTCACATACAACGAATGCTATAGAGCGTTGTTGGAGAACAATAACAATATCAATGTAACCTTCCAAAATCTGGATTGCAAACCCTCACGTTTCATCTATTTCAACGCCTTCTAGCAATGTTTGTTTTCAGTTCAAGTCTTTAAGATTTGGCCTACTAAACAAAAATTTTAGTATTTGCATTTCTTCAGATCAAAAACATTCCCTAGTGGTTATATGGTTTTTATTTTCCCTGTGGGATGGGGAAGAGAGGATTTTCAACAGAAAGCAGTATTTTGGGTGGGAGTGATCAAAATGGCTACATGAGCAGGTGGGAGAGTGGATGCAAATCCTGCATTAGCTGGGTGTGGGTTTGAGTAAACAGCTCTGTGCAAACCTCCTGTTCAAGGCTTTGATTAGATTAATTTGTTTCATTATTTTGTGTGCAGTGTTCCCAGATCAGCAGCATTGTGGGATGTGATCCCTCGCAGGCTTCCCACTAAGACCTCAGTCTTGCTCAAATTTCACAAGTCTGTGAAATACATCCTGCCCTCTTCCAGCCTGAGACTCCTGTATGTGTGCAAATGACAACTGTAGTGGTTGTATTGAGCTTGTCATTAAATCAAGTTTAAAGTGGTTATGCCACCAATCTCAACAGAAGTGCCCGGTGGACACACAAGTTTCCCTTTTAATTACGTGACCTCTTCAGTCTGAACACCTTCATTGTTACATTATAACAGCACAGTGTCAGTGCCATCGTAACACAAATAAAAGGGTTTGGAGCATGCACAGCACTGCTCGACAACAGCAGTTCATTAAATGTACATTAAAAATGATGCCAGAACAGTTTGGGTTCTGAATCAGTACAAAACAACCCTGTTTTACCAGTGTTTTTCACCAGTAGCCCAGACAACCAGGGCTCATGTGCTGACCTGGGTCAAAATGCAGTTGTGAATCATTCTTAGCAGGGATTTTAACAAGCTTCAAGTATCAGATGGGTGGGTGTGGCCACTATGGACCACAGAATACGTCACTTAAGTAACAAATTGTCACAGTTTTCCTGCGAACTTGGTGGGAAAAAAAGCTTTTGAGCTGGAATGAAAACTTCGACCTTGGCATAAGAAGGTCTGAAAACTAAGCAGACCTGCTTTTCTGCTGCTTGGTTGAGTGAAACATCAATGGGTGGACCCAAAGAAACAGTCTTTAAAAGTTAAACCCTTTATCTTATTGCCTCAACAAGTCCTTCAAATTAAACCATAAATGATCTGACACCACTATTGGCTGGACGACATTGTTTGTCAGTGCCTTCAGAAGCGGTTACAAATCACCTTTTCAAGACTACGTTTTCTGATCTGACACCGCTATGGTTAAGGTTTGGTCAGGTTTAGGCACAAGAACTAATTGGCTAGGGTTAGGGAATGACCGTGGTCACTGAGTGTTAATGTCTGACGTTTTGTTGTCAACAACTTTGCGCTATTTCCTCCTTTGCTCCCAATGGATAAGAGTCATAATCCCTACAACCACTAGAGGACTCACTTGAAAGCATACATCTGTTGTTTTTGGGCAGATGTTGAAATGCTGACATTAGGAGGACAGTTTCTCCTTAGGTTAATATACCAAGTATGTATTCCAAGTCAGTCACACTATGAACACTTGTGAACACAATAGTATTGCAAGATTTCCCTTTGTAGCTGATGTACAATGTATATGTAACGTAATATTATGGCTCCGAAATGGCAGTATAACGGCAGCATCGTGGTTGCAACGCGATTCGAAATTACAGCTCTGCTGAATGTGAAGAGAAGAATGGCAGTGTTTCCTTACACTTTTCTTTAAAAATATTTAACTGATGCATGTAACGTGCACATTTCTTACTTCACCCATGCGCACAGGTCCAGGATAAACGGACTAAACATCAGGTTCCGGATGTTGCAAAGACTGCCTACAAGACCCGTTCTTACTTGGCTCAAGACGTAAACACGACATAAACACACTGAATAAAAATGGTTCTCTGTTGGCAGAAAACACAAGCACACCTTCACAGTTTGGGTCAGAACGGCTGAAGGCTCACAGAGATTTGTAAAGCTAAAACCAAAATCTGCTCTGAAACAATGTGCAGGTCCCACCCATGTGGTACTTCACCTCAACTCTGTGTTCACATCATTTTGTAAAATTATTCAACCCAGGTCAACCTGGAGACTGTATTTGTTTTTTTTAAAGATCCCTCAGGTCCTTACAGCACTGTGGTCTCTGACTGCAGAATGGACTGGGTTCGGGAGTTGCGGTGAAACTGCACCATGTGGTCTGAACCATTCCTGGAGGCGAAGGTGTTGTTGAAGTGGTGATCTCTGCTCAGGCGGCAGTCCAGACACATACTCCGCCACTTTCTCTTTAGCTCGCCTTGAACCTGAAAAATTCGATTAATATTTTTTTAAAGTTATTTAAATGTTACAAACAGATATAATCAAACCTGTGGCTCAGAATAGGTGACTATAGAGTCAATAATTCTTGCTGTGACTTGGCCAAGAGACATATCAGACTACACACCGAACTCCAACCAATCATAGCTGGTGACTTTAACGGCATGTATGACGTATGACAAGGTGCTTCGCCACCTGACAACATCATTATCCCTCTTTCACTTTCCCTGTTTTACAGTGTGCAAAAGAGTGTTTGCAACATACAAGAGGTGGCAGTATGTGTAAACGAAAGCCATTCTGCTTTTTTCAGAACATGCTGCTCGCATTATATAATTACAAAAATCTAATGATGAGATTAGGACACTCACAAATTTTAGCTCCAACCAAAGAAATTGCCAATATAATTTACTGCTTATTTGCTGCTTAAATGTTTCCACTTAAGACCACATTGAAATTAAGCTGTGTATTTTAAATGAGAAAGCATGCTTTAAAAAGCATGTTATCAGCTGAGTGCAGAGATATTTATAGGGATATTTTAATTATATATTTATAATTATATATATTAATTATATTTTATATATTATTTTAAAATACTGAAAAGGAAATTGTGTTTTATACAAATTATGTTAATGAGAAGTGACACATTTCACTCACTTCTCACTAATATTACTAAACACTTTTACTGTGTCATTTCATACAATGAAAGCTTACCTCACTGTTTAGGAAACAGTAGAGAATGGCCACCACCAGACCCTGAAAAAAACAACAGTAATCTTAACAAAAAATGACAAACATCAGACGTAATTCAACATCAACGACGTAGTAGTAGACATGTGGGTGGAGGGACTAATAATACGGCACCTGAAAGGATCCGAGGGCCAGGTCGAAGAATATTTTGTAATCTTCTGCGATGGATTCACTGAGAGCAACGAAGACCACATAGTGGATCCCAAACAGTGGGATCAGCAGGAGAGTAGATTTGGCCAACCTCCTAAAGACAAAAACAGTTATTTGTTGTTTACCTGTAACAGATCTAGTGTTTTGTATTCGTGTTGTATGAAAGCATATATTTTTGATTTACTGTATAGGGTCAGTTGGCCCCACGTTTGTGCCATTTGGGTTTTATAATCTGTGTTCATGAGACTTGAAATGTGGTTTGCCTGAGAGTGTTAACTGAAAGTCCACTTACTCGCTATATTCTGAGTATTTATCAGATGGAAATTAAAAAAACTGAACAGCAATGTGTGTTTTCAGAGACAATGGGTATCATAAAACATTCATCAGTAATTTATCATTTCCTATACCTATCCTGTCTCCGGTGGTGCTTTTGAGCCCTGTTTTCTGTGGGTGTTCCAGTTACAACAGGACCAGAGGATTATTAGAGCAGCTCTAAAATGCAGTCAGCTAAAACAGGCACAAATAGTGACAGAACACCAGCGCTGGCATTAGCATGGTGCTCCTCGATTGTAAGACAGCCTTGGTCGAACAGAGCAGCAATACATGTTCACACACTCTTCCTGACTCAACAAACACGTTTCTCCAGTGATGATATGATATGATGCATCGCGTAATCAGAGCTCATAGAATCCACTTGGATATGAGACATGTTGATGCACAAAACCCCTTGGAAGGGAATGGCACACTATCTGGATCTGATCGGTCAGACATTGGATTACTAGAACCCAAGTGGATTCGTTAGGGACTCTAGAATCTCAGCAGTGGATATCTCAAAATGTGGGCAAATAAAACCGAATACATCTGCATGGCTGAAAAGCGGGAAAATGTTACATTTCCATTACTGTTATGTAAAAAAAGCTACTCATGTGGCGTCATATTACCCCTCCAACTCCTATAAAAGATGATCAAATCCTTCCTCGTAGTATCACTCTCCAGGTGTCGACTCTGATCAGCCCTACACCGACTACACTGTCCTGACACTGAATATTCCGGTACACTAACAGGAGATTCTTCTGTGGAATAAACCGAGCATGTCCAGGCTTTTCATCACCTCTCGCCTCAGAATCTCGGATCCCTGCAGCTGCAGGACACGAGAATACCTGACAACTCAGCACAGCTCAGATTTCCCTTAAAAATGCCCGAAGATTAAACACACCGCCTCTGACTGGGCCAAGACTCGAGCAGACACTGAATCGTGCAAGAATGTGCCGCTCCACGGAGGTTTCACGCCCCACTCTCCATTTCACAAAGGCTGCCTCATGGAACGCTGTCTTGTTGCATGAGCGTTACCACCACTCTTATCTCTCCAGACAGCAAACACAGAGGGGATGAAAAATGTTCTGGGCGTCTCAGATTATCTGTTTTTTATATTTTGAGGCTTTTGGCTGACTCCTTTTATCCCCAGTAGCCTACACTGACTGAACAGGTGTAGTGTCTGCTTAATGACACATAAATGTTGACACAATCTGTCAACTTTTATTAAAAGTTGAAGCTGAAAAAAATGGTTTGTAGCACATAACCAAGATGGGATTTTTGTATCTGTGTAGCTTTTTGCTGCTCAAAAATAATTAAATCTGTGGCCCCGTGTGAGATACCTGTATTGTGATTGGTCGTTGCCACCCACGTCAGGACACCTCAGCTTCTGGACCAAGATCCGAATGATGCTGATGAACAGGATGAAGTTCACCTTGGGGACAGGGAGGAAATAACAGAAATATTAGAACACCCACAAGGGGAGATTTTATTTTGGCTCGTTGGACATTTTTTTTCCACCCACGGAAAGCAACGAATGGAAAGTTAAGACAATAAGAGTCTCAGTGAGTGAGTGATCCATCCAGTGATGAGTGGATAGACTGACGTTAAGCTTCCCTTTCACGCATTACAAATGTGAACAGTTGAGTGAAATTAACCTTATATATGAATTTTGGGGCTTTTGCTAATGAAAAAAGGGGATAACAAGGCCATGGCAGGTCTGTCAAGCTTTTTTATAACATTCCAAAGTGGTGTATAGGGGCGCTAGTAAGACAAACTGGTCTCTAAAAGACGTGACTTCATTTTTGCCTCTTAAAATCCCAAAACTACTAAATTAAAGAAACAACACACTTTTTACTTACTTTCTTGCTCTTGAGTAGGCCGCTAACGTTAGCTAAATAATGCTGGCTAGAAAAAGCCTTTTACTGTACAGCTGGAACGATTAATCGATTAATCACTTAGTTGTCATCTATTAAATTAATAGCCAACTATTTTATTAACCAATTGATCAATTCATTTCCAAATTCTCTGATTTCAGCTTCTCAAATGTGAATATTTTCTGGTTTCTTTAGTCCTTAGTAAACTGAATGTCTTTGGGTTATTTTATAATTATTAGTTGCAGCCCTAATACTTACCAACATTCATTTTTCCATTTGGAAGCACCTGAACCAACAAACATGTGAAACACCTGCAGACAAACAGAAGGTAATGAACCTCAACCTACCATAATGGAGAATCCGATTGGTCCATTGATCACCCAGTTGGGTATGGGGTTGTCGTTTGTCTCCCAGCATCTGAGGGGAAACCATAAATTACCATAATGTAACTATTATAGTAAACTTATCTGTAAAACAAAACAGCCTCAGAACAGTGCGGATGGCTCGAAGCAGCCGAGCCAGACCTTAAGCCTTGATGTCAAAAATGAGTTTGCCAGTTTGAATCTGGCCAAGAGCTTCTTTTTCAATGTCTTAACTCAAGTCTCATATCCTTCAGGGCAAGTCTAAGTCACAAATCCATCCATTCATTCTAGGCCACTTATCCGGGCATCCTCAACCATGTCCTCCAGCTCTCCAGATCAGATTAGGTGGAGTAATCCCTCCCTGAATACTACAAAAATCACACTCAATTATCTCAAGGTCTAGCTTTTTCTGGAGCTTTCAACTGCATCTCAGGCAGTTTGGTCCAGAACAAGCGTTGAGGTATTTCGTCAAGCTACTATTTTCCAAGGTCAGGAGTGAAACTTGCAGGCTTGAGCTTCATTATCATTCTCCGCAGTCTCCTCACACTGTGGAGCGCTATCCTTGCTGTCCTTTATTATCAAGCTGCTGCTCTGTAATTGTTGTTGCAGAGTTGTTTCACAAAGTCTTTTTAAGAATACGCCCACTCAGTACAACTCGCTCAATAATGAGCTGCTGTGTCAGCTGTAATGATATGCAACAGAAGCCGAGCAGAACCATGGCACCGGGGCTCATAATGACTACTCAATGCAAATCCCACCGGCTGACTAATTCAATGAAGTACTCTTTGACACGTGGGATATTTGTCTTATTATTCTGGAAACTGAGCCACATTCCCATATGGTTATTGTCTGCTGACAGAATCTAATCGATAAAATGTAATTTGTGAACTAATGAAATAACAGATGCTGTCCTGTTGAATAGAAATGAGTGCTACTGCCTCATCTAATTTAAATTCCACGTGTTCTATCTCATAATAAAGGAGAAAATAATAAACAGATTGAAAGAGTGTGTGACGTATGTTGATTTATCCCCTTGACACATAGCAAATAACAGATGCATGCAGATTAATGTGATATACGAGTTAATGTATGAATTATAAAATCACTGTATGATGTATACGAATGTTTGGTTCATGATTGATTGGCGGCACTCACCCTGTGTCCTCCAGATAAATCCTCGTCATCACCCACGCAAAGACGAACACGGTCGGGATTCCTGCAAAATGCCACGGGGAAAACATTGATGTAATGGATGTAAAACATTATCTATATGTTTAATGATTAAATTCTATACCCAAAATTAAAATGTATCAACATAAATGTACTTGATTACAATTTGCACACTTATTTCAACGATATTAGATACAAGACACTAGCATGTTGTTTCTAACAAAAAATTGACATCAAAGCTTGAATTCTCTCTTTCAACTTAAGTCTTGACTCTAACCCTAGTATCAAAATATAAAGATGATACACCAGAACTCCACAATAAGCTGATAGATACGTGAAATGCTTTAGCAAATACACTATTTGTGTCCATCTGATGAATCCAATATTTAATCTCCTTCAAGCTCTGGTTTGGTCTCCACCAACTCTTGAATAAAAATCTGGCTCTTTAGCAGCTCCACTTTCTCCACCGGATAGTCTCTAACTGTTGATGCTGACTACGTAGTGTACAGTGGGTTTATGAAAACATCTTCCTGCCACCGCCGGAAACAAGGTCGACAAGAGCGCTGCGACTGAACCAAATCAAGAATTGTGCCTTTAAATGAAAACTGAATGAGCCAAACTTCTAGCTTACCCCAGCCGATGAACATGTAGACGATAAAGTGTCTGTTCTCAGAGAAGATGACAACGAGCAGAGTGTGGAGGTACAGGCCCTCCACCAGCAGCCAGAAGAAGTTGGCCATGATGAAGTACTGGAAAAACACCAGGCTGGCTTTACATCCCACCTAAAAACACGTACAAAGGTCAAAGATGTGTAATAGGATATGGACTTTGTATCTAAATATTAAAATGTTAAATGTCACAAAACTATCAGCAATTATGTGACAATGTTAGCAGTGACACAGAATTAACCTTTAAGTCATTTTCTACTATGAATCTATAGTGCACATGCTATTGTTCGTCCTTGCAGGGATGTACATGACCAGAGTGTTGATACAGACTCTTACATCCACAGAGACACTGAGGGTTGTATGATGAGGGCAAGTAATGGAGGAAGAGTTAGCGAAATATCCAGGCTTCAGAGCATTAAAAGTTTTCAAGTGTCAAAGGCTGTTAAGTACTAAAAGTTGTCAATGAGATTCTTAGGCTTTTAGTCTTTTTCTTCTTTTATATAATTTTTCTTGGGCCCTTTTCATGCCTTTGCTCGACAGTGACAGTAGAGAGATGACAGGAAACAAAGGACCCTGGCTGGAATCAAACCGTTTGCAGTTCATAGTTGTCATCTTAACCCCAAAGCCACAGGGCCAATCCATTCTCAGACTAGAAGAGTACAGATCTCCACCAGGCGACAGATGGAAAAGCACCTACTGTAATACCGCCACAACCGCCAGCAGAGGTTTGCAAAGTTTTGTGGAAGTTATAGTGCAAGTTTTTTTAAGTCAATAAAATCTTTTTTTCAAGGTTGTGAAACGACGCAACTGCAAGACGTCCTTGAGCATATGATCATAAATGTCCATGAGAAATATGAAACTGATTGGTTCTAGGTCTTGTACGTGAGATCTGTGCCTCCTAATAGCTACAAACCCACAGTAACTGCTGTGAGTCAGTCTGTGAATGACCATTTGATAGTTTTTTGGCTGTGTAATCCAATAATTCATTTAAAAAGCAACAAGAAAACATATTGTTTAGGTATTGGTACCAGAAATCTGGGACTTATTAGCACTGTTGTCAAAAGCTGTCAAACTATATGCAGCCTCAGTCAGGAGTTTCCCATCATCCCGACTGTGTGCTAGACAAAGTCATCCCGACTAAATTAAATTCTGGTATCAGTAAATGAACCGTCACGCTAGATGGTTTGCCAGTTTTTATTATGTAAGAGGTTTGCGAAAAAAATTCAAGTAAATAGAAAAATGTAAAGTCTAATTTCTCTAACACCTAATTTACATTTTCATTTCATTTTACAAACTGTGGCTGGAAGCATCACACTGGAACAGTTTTCCCTCTGTGACAGCTGTTAACAAATGAGTGTGTAGCTTCTAGTCCTCTTCGCTGCCGTGGGACACGGCGAGGCTCAGTGAAGACAGAGGTGGCGAACTCACCAGCGATGGCTGGTTGGAGCACTGCGATGTTCGGTTGAAGAGGATGTCGTCTTTCACCAACACGGCCACGGCTCTCAGGATGAAGGAGAAGAAGAGGTTGAGGTGGATGTAGTTCCTGGTGCAGTGGAGCTTCCTGCATAGATGTTACGCAGATACACAATAAACAGATTATAGAAACAGTTCAAGTTTGAAAAGTTCCTTCTTTGGACTGAAGTTGGGTTATTTTTGTGCCAATATTAAAGAGGTATTACACACTTAAACATATTTGTAGAGCTGTTGACTAAATCACTGGACAAAAAGCACCTGTATCCATGTTTATATCATATCATATTCAGGTGGGTAGTAATGAGTTACATTAACTCCGTTACATTTACTTGAGTAAGTTTTTGAAAAAAATATACTTCTAGGAGTAGTTTTAAATCACTATACTTTTTACTTTTACTTGAGTAAATTTGTGAAGAAGAAACTGTACTCTTGCTCCACAACATTAGGCTATAATGAGCTCGTTACTTTGGTATTCTACGCGTCATTGTTTTTATCCCCCCCCGCGTATGCCTCATTTTAATGTTTTATTTATTTTGACAGAGAGAGAGACTTCTGCTCTACCACGTGACTGTGTTTCACCAATCAAACGTAGTTGTGCAGTCTCGTCACGTGACCATACTCAATCTCAGCGGCGGGACGGGTTAGCGTTACAGTCGTAGCAAACAAAAATGTCAGAATCAACCGTCGGCAATGCAGACACAGACGAGGAGGAACACCCCTGGCCTCATATTGAAAGCATGTTTACCTTAGTAACGTTATTAACCGCGTTAACCCAAACCCATTTTAATGGCGTCAATGTTTTTTATCGGGGGTTAACGCCTAGCACACTTTGTAGTTTTTTAAAAATGCTGTTGCAACAACTAGTAATGTTAGAAAAACTACAACACCACACCGGATCTAGCTAGACCGGAAACAAAACAACAGGCACGCCGCACACACTTGTTTAAGAGTAGTAGACGTTACATTTTGAGTGGACTGCGAGCGCGAGACGCCGAAATGGATGGATTCCTTGTTGTCTGAAAATGTCAACAGGCTTGTCTGTTTGAGTAACTGGCTCAAAGCAAAGAAGTAGTAGGCTTACCTTTTATTGGTAACCGTTACTGTTCATTCTTTCTGAAATAAGAGGCAGGGTTGAGCCTCTGGTGAATAAAGAGCAGTAGCCTGACTGCTATGTTCAAAGCAAACTTGAAAAAAGTATATAGCCATGGTTTAACTGCACTATAGGCCTATATTTGACCTTACATGTGCACTTTATCATTTTATTTTGTATCGCCCTGTTTTGATCCCTTAGAAAGGGCTGTTGAAGGGGCTGTTTGTGTGACAAAGTATTTTTTTCATCCTTTTATTGATGGACAGTGTTACATTGTGTGAGAGATTATTTGCTCCAAGTGAGAATGTTAGTGTGAAATTGAACACTACAGTATATGCCAATGTTGTTTTCAATAAAAACAACATTTGCACAAAGCAAGCCGATCCACTTTTCCATGTTGATGAGAGCATTAAAATGAGAAAATCAAGGGACATATAGAATAGATAAAAATGTGCGATTAATTGCGAGTTAACCATGACATTAATGCGATTAATCGCGATTAAATATTTCAATCGTTTGACAGCACTACTATATGAATAAAGAGTCAGTATGGATAGTTTTGATACCCAGGAGGAGAGGATTAACCATCATCAAACACATGTACAGTGATAATGTTAATTAATGGAGTCTTTAAAAGAAAAAAGAAGCCTCTTACTCAACCTCTAAAGTGTTTGATATAATGAGCCATAAAATTAAGTTTTTTCATGTATCTGGATTCTGAAATCTTCTCACAAACATGATTTATGCATATTTACTACGTTACAGCTCTGGTCAAACCTCCAGTGGCTTTTTAAAACTAATCCCAAAAGCAAAATGAAGAAAAAGGTGGAAAATAAAAAGCTCCAATCAACATAATTTAAATTAACAAACGGAATAAAACTAAATCCAATTAATGTGTAAACTGAGCGCGCACACAAACACATCCTTTGACAATTAATGATAAAGCTGTGAAATTGCCAGCGCTTGTTCATTTAAAACCGACAGCTTTTCCTCAGACTCTGCTGACGCGTCAATCAGCACATGAAGAAACAAACACCAAAAAACAAAGACCTCCAAACTGAGCTTGAAATTACCACCACCCACTCTTCTGCTATCAGCCTTTTTTTTTCTTTTAAGGTTTTGTATCTTGAAGACCCACAAGCACTACTGAGGTTTCATCTCGTGTGCTAATGTTGTAACATTTGGTCTTACCGGAACAGACAGAGGATGGCACTCCCTGTGGTGAGGGCGATCAAAGACAGACTGTGACCCAGAGTGTACAACGTCTGCACGACCACGTAGAAGACCAGCTGCAGACACACAGAGAGAGAAGAGGAGCAGGGTTATTATTATATTCTAATTATCTGAATCGTGACAGCAACTCAAGCTTTTGCAAGTTGGTAGGTCGCTCGAGCACTTTGGTCCAGAGGAAGATGTCTCCGAACTTACAGAACTTTGGATGTGGTGTGAAGTTAACGAATCAGCAGGGACTGAAGCTGTACTATACGCTGGTCAGATAAAGAGGAGCACCCAGAGCGTTAGCAGCTGTCTTTTCATATTGAGGTGACTCTATTTCTTCACATTAATATTATTAGGTTAGCACATTCAGTACATTTATCCTTTTCTCTACGGATGATGTAGTGTTTTATGCTGTACACTGTAAAAAATGAATCTAAAGAAAGTTAAAAAGCTTTGTTTCTGTGAAATGAGTCTAATTTTTTGTATAAAATGAAAAATAATCTTGTCAATTAGAAAGGAAATCTCGTTTGAGGAACACATATCTTTGTCTAAATAAGATATTACAGCTAATATTGAGCTCCATTCAGTTACAACAATGGTTTGCATAATAACCCAACAGAGGAACAAGATTATTTTCCTTATTTTAAAGAGCCACTCGCACAATGTCTCAGTTCAGGAGAAAGTCGTCTGGTTCCAGTGTTAGAAATAAAGCAGCTGTTTAGTTTTTTTAAAAATGTTAAAAAGAAGATGTTTCTGGTGCCTTCATTTAAGACAAAGTCACTTATTTTTATTATGTTAATAAATTGTGTCTTATCGTTAGATTAAAGTACATATTCTTAAATTCAGCTCAATAAAGTGACCAAAAATACTTATTTTAAGAAAGTCTTTATTGCGCTATAGTTTAAAGTAAATTCTAAGGCCCATTACAGTCTTTCAGTGGATAGATTTTTATGCTTGTTTCATGAATTCTAGACAAGCAAAACTGACTAACCCCACTGACTGACTGCAGATCTTTTTTGCTCAATACAAGAAAATCTTATTATGTTTAAGAATATTTGGCTTGTTTCTAGAGAGGCTGTTTTTGTAGTGCCGTAAAATTTGATTGATGTTCCCCTTCCCGTCGTCAGGTCCAAATTTGAATTTGTTCCAATACTTTGGTTTCAGGGTGTTGGCATGGGAAAGTCTTCCACTCCTCTAAAGCTAGAGTAAAGTGAACTGGTATCATATGAAACTACCAACTATGTCATGCTAGCATCTTGGGAAGGAGGCTAAATAACGTTCCAAAGTTAGTCTAAAATTTGGCGTTGGAAAAACTGGCATGGCCATTTTCAAAAGGATCCCTTGACCTCTGACCTCAAGATATCTAAATGATAACTGGATCTATGGGTACCCACAGGTCTCCCCTTTGCAGAAAAGCCCACAATCCCATGCAAACACATATGGTTTACAGTAAATGTGTTATTTTTACCTCTGTGGTTGAGTCTGCAAGCTTTGAACCTTTACATTAGATGTTGTTCAGCAGCACTTAAAAGAAAACTAACAAAGAGAGTGAACTCCATCCAGTCTGACAAACAGGATCCTCGGAAGTGGTTTACAGTTGTTGTCCTCCCACTTGTCCTCCCACTCTCCACCTCCAACCAAAAGATTCCCCACCACAGCACCCATAACACCATGCAGACTGCTTAAATAAATAAACACTGGAGGCAACATTACACCGGAATGTAATCTGCTGTTAAACAATACAAGCAAGAGACGGCTCACCACACCCGCGCTGTTGATGTTTGCATGTGTTTCTGTTGTGCCTCTGATGATGTGTACAATTTATGAGTGGCTTTTTTTCCCCTCCACAGCAAAGTTATTATCCAGCTAATCTTACCAGTTCTTTCTGGAAGGACGCTGTAAAAAAAAAAAAAAAAAAAAATGCAGCAAGTCTGAAACCAAAAAATAATCAGAATAAAAGCTGTTGTTGGAATTGTGATCGGTCAGCATCGTTGTGTTATTGTCGTTATTGTTTTCGGTTACAGCTGCGGGTCTGGCGATATGTGCTGAATTCACTGCCAGGAGAGAGAGAGAGAGAGAGAGAGAGAGAGAGAGAAAGCACAATGGCCAATTCAGCGGTGCCATTTGTGACGCAAAACGAGCCAAACAAGTGAGCATGAGGAAGCTGCAGTTACACAACAGCAACGAGCCAAACACCAGGAGTGCACAGAGGTCGTCCACGTGAGGACAAAGACACGGAAACCTCCATAGCACTGATTCAAGGACCGCAGACATCTCGTTATATGGATCTGGATTCAGTTCAATAATAAACAATATCTTTAAGCACTTTACCTTGAATTGATTTTCTCACAAAACGCAAATTATAGTTCTTATTCTTTTCTTTCCATTAAACCGCACATCTACGAGAATAATCCTTTGACAAACGTCTGCAGATTCAGACTCTTCAGATAATGTGGCTGCATAATGAGGCATCACAATAAAACTGCACCTTTCTTCCAGGATTTGTTCTACTTTGGTCTGCTAAAATAACACGTTGAGGCAGCTCAGGAAGCAGAGAGGAATCACTGTGAAGGGAAATAATGACACAATGACATATCAGCAGAGGTTTGTCCTGATGGGACGAGCACAAGTGATGAAATATTACGCTTTTGTTATTTTTGTTGCTTATACTATACGGCATTATAGCAATAAATAAATCATCTTTCATTACATACAGCTGTGTTAAGAATGCTAACAGGCTCTTAATAACTCGCTGATTTGTTGTTGAAGTTGGTAATGTTTCTGCAGGTAAACTAAAAGTAATGGGACAATCTGAAGTTCATCCGATGGTTGCAGGGATATTTCACTCAATAATGTAAATGTAATGCAAACGTCATTCTGTGGGGACAATGAATGTCAAATGTCAAAAATCAAAGGTTCCCAAACGTTTTCCTTAAGGGATCCCTGTTCTATCACAGAGTAAACTAACGACTTCTGATTAATTATGACAGTTAACTCAAACAGTGACTGAATATTCATAATCATCATCAGATATGAGTTTTTCTGTTTTTTCTCTGCCTGTATTAGATATTTTTATCATTTTTAACAATCATACAGACTTAATTCAGTGTTGACTTCCCCCTGACACGTCGCCATTGTTCCATTAGCGCTTTGATTGTTTTAATTACTTTTCCAAAGCGGGACGAGGCTGTTTTTGATGAGATTCTGTGGATACAGCTTGTTCAGGTCTTCACCACTTTCTCTTTACTTTATGTCTTAAATAATAAAATAAACTAAAAAATAATTTAGTTTTCTTCACTGAAATGAATGAAATGCTGAGATATATAGGACTCCTACTTAGTATGGTTTCAAGTTTTCCTACACCCCTCAGAAGGTCTTACAACCCCCCTTGAAGCTTTGGGAACCCCTGGTAGGTTGGGAACCGCTGAAATAGACCGACACCAGCAACCCAAGAGCTACTCGCTTGCTAATTAGTGTCCAAGGAAGTTAGATTTCAACATGAAATAATTACAGACATCTGAAAGTCCTCCTCCACTCAGAAATCACTGTTGTTCCTACAGTGAGGTGTTTGAATGATGTATGTGCAGAGTTTGACTCTAGAAGGATGCTTTCACACTCATCTGCTGAACGTGGAAAGTTTCTCTGAGCTCACTGAAAATCACAACTAGTTTGGAGGTCAGTCCTGGTCCACTATGCAACTTATACAAGTGAGATCCACCAGTGCACAGACACTGAGAATGGAGTTTACTGTAAAGTAGAAGATATCTTGTGTCCAGCAGGAAAACTTTAGAAATTTTAATTAGGTAGAAGCAGTAGAGGCATTCTTAGAGATTTTAATGTGGGATAAACACATTATTGTTCCAAGCCGACTATTTGTATACATGCATTAATGGAGAAGATCTTTAAAATATTCTACAAACTATCTGTAAAAGAAGGGAAATAATTCCAAATAATGAGAATGCTGAGACATAAAGCGGATTTATTTGTGTAATTTAAAGACAATGAGGTGTTTCTCACTCACAGTTTATCAGGTTTAACTTGTTCTTTTTGTCCTACAGCACATCAACTCTCTGTGACCCTTTGTATTGTGATATTTCTTGTAATGTGTCAGCACCAATTAACCAGGTCAAATTCCTTTTACTCAGTAAATAAAAGCTGATTCAGACAATAAAACCGAGTGATTTGATGTTATTTTCTCTAAGTTGGTTTAACCTTTCCATCCTGCAGAATCTCTCCTTTTATATTATTTGTTTTTTGTTTTCTATTTTACTATAAATAAAAATTGATTACAGTGACATTTCATATATATATATATATATATATATATATATATATATATATATATATATATAAACAGCAACTATCAAATAACTATTTTTGGTTTCACAGACAAAAAGCCATTAAATACCAAATACAGAAGAATTATCACAGAAGTCGAAATATCTAAAAAACTCCTAAAATGTTACAAAATATTTTACCAAAACAACACATTTTCTGAGATAAAATCTTTATCTTTAGCTATTTAAACATATTTAAATATAAAAAATATTTGATTTGAGTACAAGCAACTCATTTATTGTTAAGGTATAGGGTTAGGGTTAGGGTTAATTGTACTTAAAATGAGTGAGTATATTACACTCAACGTGTTTACAGAATGTATATGTATAAAGTAACTTAAATGCATCTTCTCTATGCAAATGTTTTAAAGAAGAAAGTTGAATCCACTAATGCAAATAAGCCAGTTATAACATATAGTCCATTTAAGTGAGTTAATGGATCAAACTGGAATTACATCACCAATACTTAAAATATAAATTAAGTTCCCTCAAAAAACAACTGAGTCATTTTTGTGTTTAATTTCTGGGAATTAGGAATTCAGTTTTGGAGGATTAAGTCATGTTAACTTACCTCTTTAATGAAGATATGCTGTTAGGATTTACAATGAAACAAACCGTTACAGTTTCCATCCTGATTGTCTTCCACATTCTGATGCAAAATGTCCCAAATCTGTCTCTTAACATGACATTGATTGATTAGTTTAAGTGATTTCTGTTTGGAATTACACATCTCTCTGAGGTTTGACTAAACTGATTAAAAAATATTTTCAGATTTTTGTGCACAAGTGTGAAATGAAGCAGAAATCAGAGGATGGAAAAACGGCTGTTGAATAAAGCAGGCGCAGTTTTTTAGAGCTTTCTCCTCTCAGAGGCTTCATCGGGACATGAAATATGTGTCTCGTGTGTTTCAACATGTGACGCAATAAGGCTTTTGTGCTTTGAATGAAGGTTTGCGTCAGATCTGAGGCTCATTATATTGTAAGTGTTGGAGGATGAAAAGAGGGAAAGTGTTTTGTTGTTGAGAAAACTTCCTGGCATGAAGAGAACAGATAATTTCCTGTTGGAAACAGAAAGAGAGATTGAAATCTGCCAATAAATGCTTTCTGTCCTTCTGTCTGTGTGTGTATGTGTGTCCTGTTATCTTGCTTCCTCAGAAAAAGGTGTTACATGTTTGATTTTCCGCGCTCCAGATGCCAAAGCATTGTGGCCGCATACCTCACTAAAGCCATACTTCTACATCAAAGAAACCTGTGAATGACAAAAATATCCATCTTTACCAGAAAAATAAAGTATTGTACGTATTGAGCATGTCTGAGCACTGAAATGGGATTTTGGTGTGCAAGAGGCATGTAGATTCTAGAAATTACACAACATAATGTGATAGTGGGAGGAAAATAACAGCTATTAAGTCAGATAATGTGCAGAATTATTCCCTATCAACAAACAGAAAGCTTCTGTGGCCGGTTCAGCAGAGTTTAGGAAGTGGGAAACTAATGTATTGTACACTTTATATATGCAATACACAGAAACATTTCTCAACAATTTATGACAACATGTTTGGACACAAAATTGAGTCTTTACAGCCGACTGTAGCTTTTACAGTGTTACAGAGTTGCAGTAGGAATAGGAATATAACTTTTTGTCATATTTGCTGAATCTTTCATGAGACAGATAATCTGTAAATCAGGTTCTTCTGACTAGTTCTAGGGCCTCTAATGACATTTATAAGAATCCACCGGGCCTGAACGAACGCAATCAATCAGAGCTGAGAAAGATAGAAAGACACTTTGGGTTTGAGGCTTGAAGATAGTTGATTGTTGAGTCTCATTCCCAAACCGTCAAATACAGATGTGAGGCTGTCTCATTAATGTAAGTGGTAACTTCTGTATAAAGAAGGTGCATTAAAGGTAGGCTTACTTTATTCAGATAAATAAAACATTTTAAATATAAGAAATGCTGCATATGAGTGTAATATACTTATTAGTTTTAAGTTCAATTAACTTCATTTACCTCAACAATAAATACTTGATACTTAGTTGAAAGTACTTAGGATATTTTAGTTGAACTAACTGGTGAGGTTTTACATTGTCTGAGTGAAGGAACAAGAAGGAAAACACATTTTTAAAGTGGAGTTTTGTGGGTTTCTTAATCAAACATTGTGTCAGACGGGAGGGATTGCACACACTACAGATGCAACAACATGCAACCAGAAACATCAGTACAGTAAATAAAAAGCGCTCTCGTCTGCAGCAGTCTATGAACATGTACAGGAGCAAGATGCATTTAAGATGTCATGTTGCTATTTCATGTTTTATTATATTTTATTTTACTGTATTACCTTTTTACTCCTTGCAGTATGTTCCTCTGTACCTCTGTGCCAATTTGAATTTGCCTTACAGGGGATCAATAAAGGAACATCTTATCTTATGTTAGTGTAAAGTTTCGGTTTATTAATTTAACACATTTGCATTTCTGTTGATTCGTCTGTCATTTAGTTTCTTTCCAATTATGTTGTTTTTCTTTGTGCTGTGGTGTAAACCAGTGGTTCCCAACCTATCAATCATTGAGTAAAGTGACTAAGTGACACATTTTATGGATATTTCATGTTATATTCAATGCAGGAAATCCAATTAACCCAAAATAGTGACCACAATAACAGCAGGAAGCTGGGTAAAATGAGCAATTTGGAAGGTTGGTTTTTATTTCCTGTGAATATTGAATCAGAGATGAGTTTTCCTGACATTTATGGGAACTTTTGTGTCTGTATTATGTATTTTTTTTATTTCTAACAATCAAACGGCCATTGTTCTATCAGCTCTTTTGTTGTTTTAACCTTTTGAATGCAGGTTGAGGCTGTTTATGTGAATGTAACTTGTGTTCAGGTCTTCACTTTGTCTTATCCTGTCAGATTTTGTTTAAATTTATATATATTAAATAATAATCTAAACTTTAATCGGTTGGGAACCAGTGGTATGACCTATAAGTCTAGTCTTGTGTTCATGACGTCATCACAGACAGTTCAAAAACATCTTCCAGATGACAGTTGGCATTTTGCCTCTTTTTAACTTTCAGTAAACAAAAAGGGACATATACATTCCTCAACAGCTTGAAGTTCTCTTTGATTTCAGGTCAACTAATTCACTTTACAAAAGAAAAGCATGGCGTCTGTCCAACAGATGTTGCTGTGCTGATCTACCACAGAGTGTTTGTTCAAGAAAAGCAATGAACTGTGAATTTTCCCCAGACGGGTTTGTCACTTCTCTTTCTCATCTGAATTAAAGAAGCTCAAGTTCATTCATGCTTTGACAGAATTTTATGATTCTTGCACCTTTGAATCCTTTCACACAGCCATTGAAGTATTGCAATAATACACCAGGAGTCTGCAAGCAATGAATGCGTCTCTTCTTTTGTCCTGCAACAGCTGAAGGTGGACCACTTTGATCTGACAGACGTGAAATATTGTTCAGGGTGTTTTGGGTGAATTTTATTGAGACGGGAGACCTGCTCAGGCTGGGAAACAGGAGAGAGGAAAAGCAAATGAAGAATGCAGCCGCAAGTGGCCTTCTGGGGTTTGAGCCGACACAGATGGTCTGAAATTTCAAAATGGTTTTACACATGTGGTTCACCATTGTTATGAAACATATCCTGCAAGTTTTGTAATGATTGGACAAACTCATAGTCTGATTTGTGTGATTGCCCATTTGTAAAGCTCTCCAATGGTCGCTTTCAATGAAACTTTCAGGGTATGTTTAAAGCTATCCTGTGAGTTTTGTGATGACTGGACCTGAGTTTGGACTGTCTGTTAGTTTTTTCCACCAGACATCGCCGCGACACGTTCCGGCTCCACCGTGGTCTCTGGTGTTGATCACGCCCGTTCTAGGAAACGCTCGATAATCCACCAGTCTCAGATGCATCCCAGAATCGTCCGCTCTGCTCAAAGTAGAATACGTAGTTGGTCTACTTTTGACGGAACCCCGCGACCCACTCGCATCGAGCAGCACAGAGCAGATCGCACTGGCAGGAAGTCAGACACAGAAACAGCTTAGTGAATCTGGTCAACTTTCAAAACAAAATACCGCGTGCAGACTCCGGATCAACTTTCCCCCTATATCAACACTGTGGCACCAGGCCATCAGCCAGAGGTAGGTTAGAGGAGATTTGAAGCAGAGAAACAGGCCGTTTTATACCCTTTTTAAGGAAAAAATACGTAAGTAAACAGTGTTAGGCCTGCAGCACGATCTGAAGATGCTCCACTTCTGAAATGCTCTCAGTGGGATTTGAAGACGCGTGGATCACGGAGCTAAACTGCGTTGCAAACATGACGCTATGAAACTGTGCTCAGTGGAATTTCGGGGTTACGGTGCGAGGGGTGTGTCCTTTCTGAAATAAAATTTTTGTGTCTTCTTTACAGCGCCTCCGTCTGGCTGATTGGGTTCATGTTTCTTGGGAAGCACTTGCTCACCATTTCCAGTTATCGGGCCAGGGTTCATGTTTCTAGCTCATTCCAGCTCACTGCAATTAGAGCCGCAGCACGAGAAAACAAACAATAATAAACACACAAAAACAATCGACCGTCAGACCCTGCGGGACTCGAACCCCTGATGAGAAAGACCGAAAGAGGAGAAGAGTTAAAGAAACAGAAGTGGAAGAGTGAGAAATGAGAAGACAAAAGAGTGACGGGGAGAGGCGGGGAGACAGTTAATTTAACAAGCACAATGGGTGATTCAGAATAAGACCGGTGGATGACCCACACTGAACCTCAGCACTGAAAGAGGACGGGAGCAGCAATTATCACCGCCGAAGCCAAACGAGGACAAACATTCTCCTCACAGAAAACTTTCTTCTGCTTCCCCGAAAACTGTCTGTGTGGAGGAGGAACTGCAGAGAGTGAAGGCTGATGCTGGGTTCTTTTTCCATTCAATGACGCAAAAGCCAGGCAGGGGAGCACACACACACACACACACACACACACACACACACATACACACACACACCAAACTGCTCACATTTAAACATGTATCGTACTATTGTTAGACATATTGACCTTTTAAAGATGCAGCCCTTCACCACTAACCGGTGTTAATTAACATCCGACCCTGCAGGCTTCGTCAATTACAGCCCGCTAATGGTCCATGTAATGTTGCAGCTCCTTTCCCCGCTGCACAGTCAGACGTTGCTCTGACATTTATGGCAACGACACACAGAGGAAGTGGAGGACAGCAGCGGTTTACTGTACCTTGTCCTGGCTGGTGTCCGACCCACACACGCTGGTGATGTTTGGGAAAACATCCGACCATCCCGCTGACGTGCAGTTCCTGCTAATGTTACCTGCGAGAGAGGAAGAGATGCAGGGCACAGCAAATTAGCTCCACACTTCACCGCCCCCGCACCCACCGAGAGGCTTCTCCTTATGAATCAGTGACGTCAAAGGGATAAAAACAGACTTTTTATTCCGCCTTCGCTTGTGTTCACTGCAAACTGAACAGGTACAAGTTAGCAAAAGTGTCAGTTTGGTTTAAAAGTTTGGTTGGGTGGAATATATGAACACGTTCTCACTGCAAACTCCTCAAATACCACCGCTTGGTCAGCAGCCTTCTGCTTCCAAACATGACGCTGTAGATGTCCCTCTAGCGCCACCTCTGGAAGCGCAGGGCTGCACAGTCGAGGTAGCAATAAAAAATATAAAATGTCCAGTTAGACTTTCAAAATAAAGCTCATGTGCAAGATGTTGTGAAACAGTTTAGTTTAGTTTAGGCACAAAAATGACTGAGTGGTGGTCGCATCCATTGACGTTGGCATCACCACACGTCCTCCTCACTACACTCCCTCTTCTCAGTGTCACAGCGGGGTAAACACAGCTGAAGCTAAGAGGACCTTTTAATGGCTAACAGTGATTTATATGTAGGTGTCCCAGAAATGGTACTAGAGGGACAGGGCTGCTTATAAAGAAGGGAAAAAAGGGGGAAAGTATTTCAGGGCCCAGCCAGTAGGGGGAAATAATCACATTACTTAGTAGAGGGGACGACCCATTCACTAGACCTTTTAGGGGCCACCTACAGCGTTACAAAGGGCCACTGATCAAGCTGCAGTATTTGACATCTGATTCATACCTCTACATAGACCCGACGCCGAAGCCTTACATGCACCTACCCAGAAATTTGACCACACATCGCAGCAAGGCAAAACGCAACATCTGTGACTGGTCGGCTCGGTGTGTGTGCGTGCGTTGTCTGAGAATGGGAAGCGATTCGTGCAGAACCCAGGTGGGTTAATAATGCTGTTAACAATCCCTCTTCAAACAAACACACACACTCACATCTGGCCTCACACACACACAAACAAACACACACGGGACGCTGCCTCACTGAATGACATGTTCTTGTCTGTCTTAGTATTCCCTCGTCCTTTCGTTTCACAGGCGGTCAAAACTCAACACAGTGGCAGAGAAACACACCAACTGGCATTTTGTCAGTGTTTTTTAGTATAAAGTATAAACGCTCATAACGGCGTGGGTAGGGGCGATGCACAACTATAAATCAAGCCATCAAAGTGTTGAGATATCATGCATTTTGTCACACATTGTAGTCTAAGATAAAGTTCTCCAGTAGCGTGGAGTGGTACTCAGAACTCGGCATGGTAAAGTGAAGCTCAGTATCACTTAAATGAGTCCCCTGTCCAGTAGGCAGCGAGCTCCCAGGGGACATTTTCTGGGTGTCCCAGAGCTACAATCGCTGCAGTGCACTGGAAGTTCATATCCCTTGGAAATTCCCAGATTGCACTGTAGAAAACACGGAGCATCTCTTGTTCACTGACTGGAAGTAACGTCACCACACTTCTGCTTCACTACGCTTAACAAACCCTCTTCCCAGTGTCACAGCGGGGTAAACACAGCCGAGGTGAAGAGAAGCTTTTAATGAGGAACAGTGATTTATATGAAGGTGTGCCAGTTAACAAGTAGTGATGTTAATACTGTTGTTAATGCCGCTATAAACTGTTCTCACCCTGCTCTGATGTCTGTGGAAAATCCCACAAGACCAAACTTCATTTATTAATCTACATATCGAAGCAGTTTATGCCCAACTTCTTACAAACCTTCCTAGAGCATTGAGGGGAAAAGGTTCGAGAGATTTAAATTCTGGAAACATTTTACAAGACTGCACATTTTAACTTCTCTTTGAATGATTTTAAAATAAATATAATGTTCCTGAACATAGCAGCATGTCTCCTGGATAATCAAATTAGGTGGATAGCTCTACATTTTACAATACCAGATGTACACAGACTTATTTTTCAGTCTGTAGCAGGTGTGCACACGTCTGTAGTGTTCTGTAAGCTGAATTTTATTAAATCAATAAATCAAACTTTATTTGTATAGCACCTTTTTATACAGTTTAGTGCGTCACAGATGACTGACAAGATGATAATAAGGAGTAAAAAGTAAATAAGGTAGATTTAAAAATACAATGATAAATGTGACAATAAAATACAATACAATGGATTTTAGAGACATAACGATAGCGTTTAATACTAAAAACTAAATAAAATAAATTAAGAAAGCAGGTAGAAATAACAAAGAAATAAAATCTATTAGAAATACTTACAAAGCTGCTCCTAGATCCTTCAGCAGAGTGCAAAAACTAAAGGTGCCTCGTCAAAAGGTTTTTGTTCTGAACTTTAGAGCTACTAACTGGGCTCGTGGCAGAGGATCTGAGAGGCTGTGGTTCATACTCTGTGAGCATGTTTGACATATATACCGCTGCTTTAAAACCATGTAAAATAATTTTTAAATCAATGGGATAACCGAAGTACAACCAATGTAAGGACTTTAAAACTCTCTTTCTGCTCCTGGTCAGCACTCTGAATCAGATTTGTGACTTTATGGGGTCGACCAGAAAGGAGTGAATTACTGTAATCCAGCCTTCTTGAGACAAAAGCACGCATTAGTTTCTCTGTGTCACTCAGAGAGAGAAATGGTTGCACTTTTGCAATATTTTTGAGGTGATAAAAGCAGATTTAATGACAAACCCCACATAGCGGATGGAAAAGGCATATCTAAGAGTGGATGGAATAAGGAATATTTCACTCAAAATTTACAATTACGTAGTTGTCTCACTCGTACGATGGCCGGTATTGTTTGTAAAATCTGCACCTCTTCTGTGGCTGATGTTAGTTTCTTAATGATCTTTACTGCCTTAGGTCCAGCAGCAGAAGTTAAGTGCCAATTTGCAAATACTCCCGGCCCAGTTTTGCAGTCTTATATGTCAGTGTTTTAATAACTTTTTTTTACAAATTGGGGACAAATACCAGCAACGTCCTGCCCCCCTATGTGCTGAATACTTTTTTTAGATATAAAGAAAGTCGCTGGGAGACATAAAGCCAATCAATGCCTCTGACCCAGTACAGAATCACTGACTGCATAACCAAAAAAAGAGAACAAAACCAGAGAGAGGGGAGTGTGCACAGGAGAACTGTCAGAGAGAGAGAGAGAGGTCGACCCTCTCAACGGGACTTTATTTCACCGGCAGACTAAAAACAGTCCGGTCATTTAAAGGTAGCCGATTTACTGAACTGCCCCGGACATCACGCATTAATGAAGAGATCAAAACTTTCACCTGTTCTCATGCTGCAATGCATTCTGTACGCTATGTCCTCATAAAACAAATAACACATAAAGTGAACCTATATATAGTTTATAGTTTCAGTTTTATCAGCCCCACAAGAATATCCTGCCTATAGGGCCCCCCGAGGCGAGAGTCATCACCATCATCCGACACTGACCCAGAATGTGAAAGTGAATGCATTTAAACTAATAACAGAAACCAGACACAGCATTTATCTGTAGCTTCTTTGGCTCCGTTATTGGAGCACAAGAGCTCAGTGGATCCACCTCGGTAGTCCAGAGGCCTGTATTTTCAACTTTTCATCAAAGAAACAGATATTTTCTAAGTTAAAGCCTTGATTGCCACCATCTATGAAGGAAATCAACAGACCCTTGGTTGTCCAAAACAACGTCTTCCATTTGCCACCCAAGTCCAAGAAGAAAGGTGTTCATGGGAGGTAATTATCACATCCTGCCATGGCACATTCATGCAGTGTTGTATAATAATCAGTGCCTGAAACCTTGTTCATTGCATTAGCGATCCACCACCTGCTGAACTACAGTTACTCAAGTGCTTAAATACAATTTAGAGGTAGGTTGTATTTTACTTTCCAGCTCCTCTTGTAGCTGTATAACATTGTTGATGAGAGGGATGTCTAGAATACCCTACTTAGCTGGCTGCAGGAGAAAGTGGACGTTTGGATTTTACTTGAGTATATCTCAACCTACAGAGACGTCGCCCATTGGTTTGTGGGGTACTGTTTTGAAGCCTCGAGTTCACCATGTTGGTTCTTTGCAGGAAGCAAACATACTGCGATTGGGGCTGTGCTCATTTATACTTCTACTCCACTACACATAAGAGGGAAATATTCTACTTTTTACTGCACTACACTAATCTGACAGTTCATTACTGCGAGGCAGCCACACGCAGGTCGAGGGGTTGGGAGCAGAGGGATTGGCAAATACAGCCAACCCTGTTACGTTTCATGGCATTTGCTGTTAATGAGAGAAAATATTGCTCAGTACAACTAAATAAAGTAAAAGCCTTTCAAAGTTTCCTCCAACTTTTTTTTTACAGTTTAATTGGCTGTGTATTGAAGAAAAAAAATACAATTATTTGTGCCAAATGTCTCCCTTTGGATATTAGGGGAAATAAAATTCTCAGCTTCAGGATGTTCAGACCACTGTTGATGCCACATCTTACATAATGAGTCTTTACTACTTCTGTAAAATGTACGTAACTTTAGGGAGGTTTGGATCCGTCCCAGACAGGAAAGCCTCGGTGTCAGATTTGGCTCCAAATGAGCCGCTGGGTGCTTACGTAATGGTCGGTCATCGATGTAAATCAGAGCACGTCTCTGAGTGTAAATGCAAACCGCCATCTGGTCGCTGGCTGGATTCCATGCTGATGGATTCAACGAGGGAACCCAGTACTCACGTCTTACTTATCTTATCTCAGCAATTCAATTTTATCATTCCAAAACTTTCAATTGAATTATAAAACAATGATTTTGATTGTCTTACTCATCCCTAGTCTTATATATTAGTCGTAGAAATTGTGTAGCAGAAATAACATCAGAGTACTCAGGCAGAAGCCACAGGCAAACCTCTTAAAAGGTCCAGTGTGTAACATTGAGAAGGATCTATTGGCAGAAGATAGGTATGTTTTCATTCGTGAATAATCACTTTATAATCATTATAATCTTTCAATTGTTGTGTTTTCGTAACCAACCAATGAGTTTTTTGGTCTCCTTACATGGAGTCTGCCATGTTGAACCACCATGTTTCTACAGTAGCCCAGAAGAGACAAACCAAACACTGGCTGTAGATAGGGTTCTCTTTATCTGATGGTCAACCAGTCTGAATCTACTCTCCCCACTCTCTTGAAGTCTCCTGAATAATCTGTGACTATCAGCTATTCATGTTTCAATTTATAAGAAAAACTGTGTTATAAAAATGGCATTTTATGTTAATCTTTGTATATTTTAAATTGAAACAAATCAGTAACTCATTATTAATTAATGAATAAATAACTTACCATTTCTGCCGAATACAGTCTTAAGGGCTCGCGGGCAGGGGATGGTGATGATCGCTCTGATCTCAGCTCGCTCCCAGCACGCTATGCTGTCCCATTCTCCTTTGCATCCCGGCTCTGTAAAAAAACAAACGTGGCTTTGTGAGTACATTTTCACACAGAGACATAAATTAAAGACTTTCCTCTCCAGACAAACACCGTTAGTCACAGGCACACGATGGACGTCCATGCAAAGGTTAATCGATGCCACGTCGAGTAAAACACATTCAGCTTCAACTGCAGCGTCACATATACGTACGGTAAATAAACCAGTGTGTTACTGCCGGGTGTTGAATCTGGTCTGGTGTTTGTCAGTGTAAAGCTGGACGTACACTGTACGATTTCAGCCCATTGCTGACCCGATCTTTGAGCCACACAGCTCATTTTAGAGCTTCGGTAGGCGCTGTTTAGGATGCAGTATTTATAGGGCAGCGAGGACCGATCAACTGCTACCAAACGGCCGTCGGATGTTTGGATTCATTTCTATCATATCAGACATTTTGAAGCAAAGCCAAGAGTCAATTCCCCAAAGTCAGTTCCTTTTTTCTCACTGCGCCTGCACATAGTGGCAAACAGAGCGTCTGAAAGTGGCCACGTGGTGGGCTGGTGAGCTTTGATGTTCCCGCCTCCTTTTGACAATCAGCACACACAATGGCACGGATGATCAAGGCAACATGTTTCTGCCTTGTTAGCAATTGCTAGCAGAACAAACTTCTGTATGCTTCTGAACTTTCCACCAAAAACTTTATTGACAGTTGTCAGGTCGTAGCTTATAGACAAGCTTAAAGTAAAATTATTGTCTAACAACTAATACATAAGAAATTCACTCATTAATGACAGTTGCTTGCATTATTAATAAAATATCAAACATATAAAAATGTATCAGGATGTACAGTGTGAGCAAGTAAATCGTGAGCTTTGGCTTTACGCTGCAGACTAATTACTCGTACAGTTGGAGCAGGAATTAAACAACATCTCTAAAATCGTACACTGAATTCTCGACTTCACAGGCAGGAGGACCATCAGGAGTTTCACCGGGTCTGCAGACGGTGGTGGTGGTGGGTGGCAGCTCCTGTGTGAGCTGTGTGTGTATCACACCGTCTAGGGATCCGAGCCGACCTTCGTTTACCAGATCAGCAACACTGACCACGACTGAGGCTCAGTTGAAAGGTGATTAAACTTCTATACACACTACTCACAAAAAGTTAGGGATATTCGGCTTTCGGATGAAATTTCAGAATGTACATAAAATGCACTATAACCTTTCTAGGTGATCTTAATTTGACCTTCTACTTAAATGCCCTACTTTCATGATATATCACTGTAGCATCAACTTTTAACATTTTCCATAAATTTCACCCAAAAGTGGAATATCCCTAACTTTTTGTGAGTAGTGTATATCTACACTGTATGTTCATTAGCAAAGGCAGACACAGTGGTCACTATTTTTAAAACATCTCCATGTTTTCTGTCCCATTTGTTACCAGCTGACAGAAATAATTGAATTAAATGTGCTGAAAATGTCGGCCATTTGTTTCCAGTGCGGAGGAAGGAATTATTTTCCAATTATTGCTTCATAATGAGGGAGCGGACATTTTTTAAACATTGTCTTCTTCGACATCATTTCATGACTTTCTTCCTCACGTTGGTGTAGCTCCAGATCGAAATTAAAAACTTTTAAAATGTTTTGTAAAGTAATATTTCTTATGTCTTACAGATTTAGCTTCTCTAGTGTCTGATATATTTTCCTTAATAAATAACAGCTGCAGCATAATACAAGTCTGAGAGCTTCTCAGTGTGCTTTCAAGTGACTCACTCACAATACGCCCTATAATATTCATAATTTGTTGGCAATTTAACATAATTTATATTCAAACTAACTGACAGTCATTGTAAGAATGACTGCTTCCTCCTTAGAAAAAATTAACCTCTGATAAGATAATTTCCCTCCATTTTTAAGAAAATTTGTCTTCCATTTTTGGACCAACAGACACATGGTTAAAAAGAATCAGAAGACAAGTGTAATTATCCTTCAAAAGACTTAAAGATAGTTTGAAGAGCAGTGCATTTAAAAAGTCCCCTAAATTAATGGCCATATATAGTTCAGTAAAATTCAGCAACTTCTTTTGTGTTTTGTACCTGGCAGCATGATTCATTTAAAACAAACTTGAAATAAATACAGTGTAAAGGACATTTCTAGAGTCAGTGTTTGGTTTGTCCATTCTGGGCTACTGTAGAAACATGGCGGACGAAGGTAACACAACCTTTATATATATTCAGGTGATTGTGCACTAATGAAAACATATTCCAGTTCTGCCAATAGATCATCCTCAATGTTACACACTGGAGCTTTAAACTATGTTAACTTCTTGTTCAAGTTCATGTATGTTGGTTCTTTTGTTGCACCGTTGAAAAGCAATAAAAAGTGAATTATAAAAAATAAAAAACTATGTTAACTTCGGTGGGGGTTTTTTTGTCTTTATGGCCAATGTTTCTTTATATTTCGGTGAATCTTCACCATTAACGACGCATTAGCCACCAGTTCCTGTTCGCACTGTAATCATGGGCAGACAACAATTATTTGGATTACATTTGATTCTGAAGAAGTCTAAATTTGACGATAATGAGAGAAGATTTTTCTATATTTATCTCTTGTGACTCTAAAGTTTCCAACTAAAAGAAATCATGTTTCTACTTCACTAAAATGCTTTCTCAGTTGCGTTTTGGTGACAAATGTTCTGTAATTGCTTACTTGGATACGTTCAGTGTCAACTTTTTGTTTGATTGAATGAAGCACCAATGAAGCATGTGATCATCAGGAGGTGGTTGGGGTGGATGTTGGGCGTTTCCAGTCCAGTCTGTGGTTAAATTAAGGCAACGAAAGCATTTCGATTAAGGTTAGGTAAGATCCTGGTTTTAATTAAATGTTAATGTCATGTCTTGACTCTCTAGACTTTTTCTGTATTGAATCAGATCTTTCCCAAACCTTAACCAAGCCCTGCCAGTGCCTAAACAGAACTATTAAAGGGAAATAATGCTTTATCACTACAGGCCAATACTGTTATTCTGGATGAAAACAAATGTCAGTGAACATTTTTCTGATATGTTTACTATCACCATATTTGAGGTTTGAGGATACATTAATAACATAATTTCCTCATTTTGTTAATAGAAAACAGGATTTTGTCAGAATGTGCTTTTGCAAATTAGTTTTTGAGGTGAAAAAACAAAAGTGGACTGAATTGTGAGTAAAACCCCCAAATGTTACTGCACAAATTCAGATGCTGTTCACATCCTCTCTTCATATCCAAGTAATGCATTTTTATTCAGTGACATCCCTGTGAGATACATTAACCCAACAGAGACCTGGATAAAACTCAAACAGCTCATTTAAAACAATTAAACATTAAAATAGGACGTGGAAGAAACTATGCATTGCTTAAAACAATCGTACTACATTTTGGATTTGGTGTTTCTGGAGACATACATTGACATTTAGACACTATCAGAGCAGAATACAAGGGAGGAGTGGCCCTGAATGAATACAAAAACTCCCACCCACCCTCCAGAGACAAAACAAACAAACTGCCTCCCAGAATAGCTCTCCCAGCTCTTCAGCATGAGCCTTAATGGGTGCAAAAGTGCTGATGGCAAACTGAGCGGTCAACAAGGCTTTTTGGCGATAGATGAACGGCGACAGTGTGCTTGGTGAAATGTAGCCCTCGTCTCCGACATCCCTGCCGAAGAAACACAGCCAGCCACCGGGGCATCAGACCGTAAAGAGGACCAACAAAAAAACTGCAAGTAAAAGAAACCTATTAGTGTCAAGTTGTAACATAGCCAGAGGAGGTAGGAAGCGAAACAAACCAGCCATTTCCTCTTTCTTTAATTCTTTTTTGCCCAAATTTTGGCTCTTATAGTGTTTGAAACGGTTTGACAATTGCACACAATTAACACGGAGACAACCATTTGACCCCCCTGCCCCCAACCAAACGCTAAACGTTTTCCTCAGAGCTCAGTGAAGAAATTATCGGATGAATATGGGAATCATTATGTTATTGTTTCGTTACAATGAGCCACGTTTCTACAGTAGCCTGAACTAAACGCCAGCTCCAGATGGGGGTGTTCGCGGCCACTGCAGTTTCTCCTTGGTGCTTGGAAAAGGAGGGGGAAACGAGGGAGTTGAGAGCTGAAACTACAGCGGCAGATGCCACTAAGTTCTGAACACTGGAGCTTTAATTTAGAGTAAAATTACACACTTGAAAACATATGATACAAGTACCTAAAGAAATCACTTAATTACAGTAACTTGAGTGGTTGTATTTCACTCATTACCTGCTTATAGGGAACCAGTCTCAACATGGATGGAGTCATTACTCTACAGTCATCACACTGTGCAACCATTTACTTCATAATGATAAGGTAAAGACAAACAGTGTCAAGCTGACGACTTCATTATCCAGAGCGACTTGTAAAACTCGAGCATTGTTGTTTTGTCCAGATCCAGGACCGCTGATGGATTCGCTCCGCGTTGCAGAGATTAAACTTGTAACTTTGAGGTGTGAGAGAGGCAGAAGTCTGAGCACCAGCAGAGCCAATCACCAGCATCTCCTGTCAGATTTCCACTGCAGGTTTTGAAAAGATCACAACAACAAGAAAATCTCATCCTTCTTCCTCCAAACAACAAAATGACAATCGGATGCAGGGACAGACTCTGTTGCTTCCTGCTCTCTGTGATCACCTGCGCTGCTTTAACACTACAAACCCAATGCATTTATCAGGTTTTGCTCTGTTGTCGCTCACTTTATTTCCAAGCACAGTCACCGCATACATTGTTGTTTTCAGAAAAAGTTGGGCTGTAAAAACAAGTTTCTTCCTGTGTGTACTCACGTAGGTTTGTAATACACAACAAATATTGTGTATGAAAGTCAAAGTCAAAGTCAGCTTTAATGTCAATTCTTCACATGCACCAGACATACAAGGAATCGAGAGGACGTTTCTCATTCACCCGCGATGAAACAGATAAAGTGCACAGGCACAACAGATAAGACAAGACATTTCGTAATACTAAAATTTAA